AACAACAACAACAACAAAGACCTATTCTGCAAGAAATACTAGAGGGAGTTCTTCAGAGAGAACTAAAAGGACAGTAGACAGTAACAGGAAGACATGTAGAAAGGAAAGGTCTCTGATTGGTAATTTTATGGGCACAGTTTTATGGTATAGTTGGCTTGTAACTTTGGTAGTTATGCCCTAAATGATTCCAAAAGACAAATAGTAACATATAAATTTATGCTATTGTGATTTATGATAACAACATAAAGATGGGGAGGAGTGGTATAGGAATAGAATTCATACATGTTAGCGAAGTTGGTATCAGTTTAAACTAGGCCATTTTAAATTTAAAATGTTAAATGTAATTCTCATGGTAACCATAAAACACTGAAAAAATATACAGAAAAGGAAAGGAAAAGAGTATTAAAAGGGCTCTACAAAAAGGCTAAACGCAAGTGATGGCAGCATTGGAGGACATGATAGAAGAGATTTGACATGAAAAATTAATAGCCAAATGGCAGAAGTAGGTCCTTATTTGTAATTACCTTAAATATAAATAGAGTAAACTCTCCAGTCACAAGGCAGAGAGTGGCAGAATTTAAAAACAAACACATGGTCCATTTATATGTTATCTAGAAGAGATGCGTCTTAGGTACCAAAGATGCAACTAGATTGAAAATGGAAGGATGGAAAGACGTAGTCTATGCAAACAGTAGCCAAAAGAGAGCTGAGGTGACTTGAAGTCAAAGCATGGCAGTCTTAGTTATCTAGTGTTGCTAGAACAGAAATACCATAAATGGATGGCTTTAGCAAACAAGAATTTATTTTCTCACAGTTCACACACTGCTGCCAAGTCGGGTCCAACTCATAGTGACCCCTCCTTGGGTTTCCAAGGCAATATCACTGCAGAAGTAGATTGCCCAATCTTCCTTCCGAGGAGTGGCTGGTGGGTTTGAACCCCCAGCCTTCTGGTTAGCAGTCAAAATGCCTTAGGCACTATGCCACCAGAGCTCCCCTCACTTGCTTTAGGAGGAGAACTTTAGAGATTCCCCCTGGGCTTAAAGTGGAGGGGTGTGGCAATTCAGAGATTGCTCCTGGGAGCTTATTACCCTTGGTTCACCTCTGTTCCTTCATAAACATCTGCACACTACACTCCATCTCAGAGGCTGCTTCCTTGGCAACCCAATTTGCTATAATTCCTAAGAACCACTGGCTACTCACAGATCCATTTTTTTGTGTTAGGAGACCTGGTTACAGAACATCTAACTCAAATTAGCTTAAACAATAAAAGGCTCAGATAAATAAATAATTTAGAAATAAAGTATGTGTTCTGGTTATCTAGTGCCACTCTGACAGGAATATATACTAGAAATGGGATGGCTTTAACAAGCAGGAGTTTATTCTCTTACAGTTTGGGAGGCTAGAAGTCCAAGTTCAGAGTGCCAGGTCTAAGGGCTGGGTGAAAGCCCCTCGACCTTGGGCTTCAGCTCTGTTTCTTGCTCCCAGCCCACTGAAGCTAGAGGCATCTCTTCACTCAGGCAGCTGCTGGCTGCTGAGGCTGACAGACCCAAGGTTGACAAGTGAAAAAGGCACAGTCCTGATATTAACAAACCACAAGGCAGGCCATTGATTCAAGTCAATTGATGGGCAGAGCATGGGAGGCGGCTGAACAACAACCTGGCTACATGCAGGGTTCAAGCTCACCGTAAGTTAGACTATTCCCAAAGCTGCTGCTTCTATCCGGGAAGCAGACCACATCCCTAAGGTAACTGACTACTCAGCTGCTCCAGTAGATTACACTATGGAGTTAATTACCAATCTCACCACTGGGAATAACTGTATCCAGGTGCCCAGCCACTCAACCAGGCCCAGGCAAGTTGACACACAAACTTAATCACATTATGGCACCAAGGACCCAATTTCTTTCTCTCCTTTGTCTTCTAAGGTGTTGTCTTCCTCCTAAGGTTGCCATTCTTTGTGGTCACAATATGGCTGCCAAAATCTCTTGGGGTTGTGTGGTTCCCTTTCCATGTGCTGCCAGAAAGAGCTTGTTTATGTCCTGTGTGCTTGTGGCCATTTGTATATCTTCTCTGGAGAAATACCTCTTCAGATCTTTTGCCTATTTTAAAATTGGGTTTCCTTTTTGTTGTTGAGTTGTAAGGGCTCTTTGTATACTCTGAATACCAGACCCTTATCAAATATATGTTTTACAAATATTTTTCTTCCTATTCTGTTCACTCTCTTGATAGTGTTCTTTGATACACAAAAGTTTCAATTTTGATGAAATCTAATTAATCTAATTTCTCTTTTGTTTCTTGTGCTTTTGGTGTCGGATCGAAGAAATCATTGCCAAATCCAAGGTCATGAAGATGTACCCTTATGTTTTCTTCTAAGAGTTTTATAGTTTTAGCAGGTCAAATCTTTTTTTTTTTTTTAATTTTTAATTTTGATTGTGATTTGGGTGAAAGTTTGCAGAGCAAATTCATTTTCCATATAGCAGTTCATACACATCTTGTTAATGACATTGACTCAATTCTTCACAATGTGACAGCTGCTCTCATCCCACTGCCTCCCTGTAGTTACGTCTTCCCTGTGACCTTTCCTGTGCATTTCTGTCCCCTAAGCTCTCTCCCTGTGCAAATACTGCCCTTCTGTTCTTCCATGATTGATGATTGATGTAAATGTTCACTCCATATGCCTGTCTGTTGTTTGGCTGGAAACCACAGGAGTGAGTTCAATTCCAGACTTGAAGGGTAACTAGATGCCGTAGTCTTGGGGGGTCTCACCAGGCTCTATCAGACCAGTAAACCTGGTGTTTTTTTTCTTACGAATTTGAGTTTTGTTTTAGCAGGTCGAATCTTCAGAGAAGCAAGTAACTAATTATAGTCAGAGACAATTGTGAGAAGGGTTTAATAGAAGTGGAATAGAAATACTTATGGTTGGACGTCAAACATGTTGTGTTTGATGTGTACCCTTAAGAAGGTGTGGGTGCCTAAGCAAAAGACAGGCATATGAGTTGAACATTTACCTGAGGTAGACAAACTCCTTGGAGAGAACAATCATGAGAGAAAGAAGGGCTGCCTATGCACAGGGAGACAGCTCAGGGGGCAGGAGTACATGGAGGGATGGACACAGGGAAGAGGTGACTATCGGGAGGAAGTGGGAGGGCAGCTGTTGCATTGTGGTGAATTGTGGTCAATGTCATGAGACAAAGTGTATGTGAACTGCTGTATGGAAAGTGAATTTGCTCTGTACATTTTCACCCAAATCACAATTAAAAAACAAACAAATAAAAGAAGCTGTGGGTGAGGGGCTCTGAAGAGGCATGGTCCTGTTAGGTCAGGGGTGGAGTTGAATGAAACCTGCCTATTAGGTGAGGTGTGGGAGCCCCAAAAAAGGAGAGAAAAGATGGTCCAATGGTGAATTTGGAAGTTTGGGTTGAGAATGTCCTATCTCCATAGCAAATGAGCTCCAATAAGATCACGGTCCAGTGGGAGGAGAGGGGAGGGAACACTGCAAAAACAAAAAGTACAGCTAATAATAAAAAAAAATGAGCGAGGTCTAATAAAGCCAACCCAAGCAAAGAGGCCATATCAGGACATTTTCACGGCCCTGGTGGAATCCCGCCCCCTTTGGGTGTATGGGAAAGGGGCAGCGAGCATCGGAAGTTGCCCTTTGCGTCAACAGGAGTGTAGAACGGGGTGACACCGCTTTGTGAGGAAGGTTCAAGACCACATTATCTGAGCATGTTTCTCATCTTTGTCAGGTTTTAGTTACCCTCTTCTTCGATTACTGTCCACACAGTATTGTCTGCTGGGAGGGGTGCAATTACCTCCACTTTCTGTCAAAGTTCATTATTATCAGCTGTGAGCTGGCCCTTGTTATTTGCTGTGGAGTCGGACAGACTCACAGCAACCCCTCCTTGGGTTTCCGAGGCAGTATCACTACGGAAGTAGACTGCCCAACCTTCCTTCTGAGGAGTGGCTGGTGGGTTTGAACCGCCAGCTTTCTGGTTAGCAGTCAAGTGCCTTAGGCACTATGCTACCAGAGCTCCTTGAGCTGGCCCTTATGCTGATGGAATTTTGGCAAAGTTCTTGTCTTAGACACATTGGGACCATTAGGATCACAGATCAGCAGCACACTTGGTGTGGTGGTGAGAAGCTTGATTACTGAAGGATGGTCTCTGTAACCTGCCCTCTGTCCGGCTACCATCCTGTAAAGGAGGGCGGCAGGAGTGAAAAGCAGACCAGTGGGTTGAGGGGACAATCAGCAGTCCTCAAAGACTAGGAGAGGTGGTGCTGGTGCTGGTGCTAGTGGTGGTTAGGTGCCATGGAGTCGTTCCCAACTCGCAGCGACCCTGTACACAACAGAAGGAAGCACTGCCAGGTTCTGTGCCGTCCTCGGAGTCATGTGCTATATGTTGAGCCCGTTGTTGCAGCCACTGTGTGAGGCCATCTCTTGATGGTCTGTCCCCTTGACTTACTGACCCTGTAAGATAGGTAAGTCAGGCAATTAGGATGTCTCTAAAGAGGATTTTGCTAAGCTATAGACTGCCCCAAAAGTTGAGAATTAGCATAAATAAGGGCTGTGTCAGTAACAAAACCTATTTAGATGACCTTTTTTTTTTGTAATCTGAAAAGCCGGTTCTGGCCTTCAGTGAGTTCTGCTAACAGGCTAAATGGAAGTGCCACTTAAAATTCCCTAAGGCCTATTTCTATTGCCTTATGAAGTAACGTGTGAGCCTTGATCGGAATCTATTCAGAATGATGCCGAGGACATCGGTTGGAATTAGGAGGGCTTCGGTAAGGCCCACAACAGTGGCGTCGGAAGCAGCAGCAGCGTGTCTGGTCTAACGTGAAGCCAGTGTGCGAACATGGTGAGGGCATACCGAGGATCGCCAGAAGATGGCGTTAAAGGGCCGATAAAAATCAACCGGCCTGCGGTTGTGAGCGCGGGCTCCTGGGAAGAGACGTCCCAGCCAGTAAATCGCTAAAGGCGGGTTTTATTGCAGAGCTCACAATTGCAGATGGACACTTTGGCCATTTGTGTGCCAAGTAGGAGGGTTTTGTTACGAATTCATTTGGAAGGGGTCGTGGTTCCTCATAACTAAAGTTTCATGAGCCCATTTCGTTAATTGGTAGGGAGGTGTTGCGTGTTTTCCCAAGGAAAAAACCTCACTGTCATCAAATCTATTCCAACTCATAGTGACCCTGTAGAACAGAGTAGAACTGTTCCATAGGATTTCAAAGGCTGTAAATTCTTATGGAAGCAGACTGCCTCATCTTTCTGCTGCCTAGCGGTTGGTGGGTTCTAAGCCCCGACCTTCTGGTTAACAGCTGAATGCCTTAACCACTGTACCACTACATGTAATTCTTTAAGAAGATAATCTCTGAGGTCCTCCACATACCAGAGCAACCATCATCATGCTTGCAGTCTGTATCAGTCCTGAGAATTCTTTTCATGGTGTATTCATGAAATTTTAGCCTGTTGGTTCACGTGGCATTTAAAAGTGCTTTTGAGGAATCAGCCCCATTGTGGGCAGATACATGTGCCACCTTTATAAACAGTGTGGGCAGAAGGTAGGTAGTACATCCAAATCTCTCGACTCCTAGATAGCCCTGTAGAAGAAGTGTCTCTGACCCACTGAACTGGCCAGACAGTGACCACATTGGTGACCCAAATACATGTGTATTTGTCTGTGCTATAAGAATGTCCAGGTGTATAGGAGAGATGACAAGGGGCAAGGTTGTGGTGGCTTCTTGGCCACAGCCAGCTACACTGAGAGAGTGAGTGGTGGGACTTGGAGGCTTGGGACCACGGTCGCAGGAGACACCAAACACAATTGGCATAACATATTACACAGTAACATTGTTCTATATCCTACTTTGGTGAGTAGCGACTAGGGTCTTAAAAGCTTGCAAGTGGCCCTTTAGATGCAATGATGGGTCTCTCCTTCTCCAGAGTAAAGAAGAATGAAGAAAACCAAAGATTCATGGCAACAATTAGTCCAAGGGACTAGTAGACTGTACAATCCTCAGCCTATTTGACCATGAGACCAGAAGAACTAGATGGTACTTGGCTACCACTGTCAACCACTTGGAGGGGGATCTGCGCAGGAGATCTTGGATAGAGTGGGAGAACAATGTGGAACAAAACTCAACATCATACAAAAAGACCAGGTTTGCTGGTCTGATAGAGTCTGGTGAGACCCCTGAGACTATGGCCCCCAGTTACCCTTCAGGTCTGGATTTGAACTCACTCCTGTGGCTTCCAGACAAACAATAGGCATCGAGGGTGAACATTTCCATCAGGTGGAAACACTCCTTAGAACCATCAATCACGGGAGATCAGAAAGGCAGTGTTTGCACAGGGAGACAGCTCTGGGGGCAGGAATGCATAGGAAAAAAGGACACAGGGAAGAGGTAACTACAGGGAGGAAGTGGGAAGAGAAGTGTTACATTGTGGGGAATTGCAGTCAGTGTCATGAAAAAAATGTGTATGAGCTGCTGTATGGAAAAACAATTTGCTCTGTAAATTTTCACCCAAATCACAATTAAAAAAAAAAAAAAAAAAGAATCAGTGGAATGCGCAAGGAGCCCTTCTTATGGAAGACATTCTTTGCCATCAAGTGGACAGTCCCTAGTTCGGCTAATAGAGCTGGCCCTCCAGGCCCATCCTGGATCAGGGATGTTCCCCAGTGGGCGTGGAAGGGTGCAGCCCCCCCATGGGCTCCATCACTTGTGACGGTGGTGGATATCCACGAAGTACACAACTCCTTTTCTGTTGCAGACAGTGATTCAAGGGGCTCTGCAATGTGCATGTGATTCTGGCAGAGGGGTGTGTTCCTCAGGGGGGCTGAGCAGAGGGGAGGCTACCGCCTCCTGTGAGTGGAAGGTAGCCGTAGGTCTGGGATTATTCTGATGACCAAGGGTGTGATTAACAGATGTGTCCGGAGGGTGACCCTTGATAACTTGTTTCCGATAAGCCACAAGGAGTGGATGGTCCAGGAGTGTGTTCTGACAGGAAGTAGGTGGCAGGCTAAGGGCTGACTCCAGCAAGCTCAGGGCAGTTCAGCATGAGAAATGAATGTTATGTTATTATTATGTTATGTGCCGTCGAGTCGGACCCGACTCATAGTGACCCCTCCTTGGGTTTCCGAGGCAGTATCACTACGGAAGTAGATTGCCCCATCTTCCTTCCGAGGAGTGGCTGGTGGATTTGAACCACCAGCCTTCTGGTTAGCAGTCAAGTGCCTTAGCCACTGTGCTACCAGAGCTCCCGAGAAATGAATACAATCCCTAAATGTTTCAATTTGTCCCATTGACATGCCTGATTTAACAGGAATATCAGTACTCCTGTGAAAAAACTGAGAGCAATTCTCACCACTCCAATGGCTTCAATTTCACATTATCCTAATGTTTTTGTCACATCAGTAAAAATAGTTATTTTATGAGCCACTGGAACCAGGACTGCCTTCATGGTATGTAACCTATGCAGTCACACAAGTCCCCATGCTCAGCTCACTGCCATTGAGTCAGATCTGACTCATAGTGACCCCTCCTTGGGTTTCCAAGACGGTTATCTCTATGGAAGTAGATTGCCCAATCTTCCTTCTGAGGAATGGCTGGTGGGTTTGAACCGCCAGCCTTCTGATTAGCAGTCAGATGCCTTATGCACTATGTCACCAGAGCTCCCCCCGGCCCGCCATGCTCAGAGACCTCTGTTATTGCTGTTTTGAAATTATTAATACATTTTTAAAAGGGACCCAGACATTTTTATTTTGTGCTGGGCCCTGCAAATTATGTAACTGGTATGGCCTAGAGTCCAACAAGTTGGATCTCATATTCTTTAAATTGCAAACTTGTGATTTGCAGAAGCAGCTCAATGCATTCTACCACAGATTGATGGCAGCTGCCTGTATTCTACCATCAGATTCCATAGCAATGAATGGAATTTTGTTCTGTGTCTCAGAGCCTCAGGATACCCTGGATGATGATTAAGGGCATGAGCATGGAGAAACGTCACAAAAACATCATCCATCGCATTGTATTAAGCAATGCTGCTGTTGTGGTGAAGCAGGGCTTGAGTAACCACTGGAACATTCTCTTTGCTTTGCATGGGTCTGGTGAACTCAACTTCTTCACATGCATGCCAAATTTTAAAAATTACTGACTGGTAGGCTCAAAGAATCGTCGGTGCTAAAAGTAAGCCCTAAACTTTTGCTGAAAATAATCAAGAAGGACACACTTTTTTCATAGGCCAAACTTGGATGCTCTCTTCTAGATCAGGAGGGACCTGAAAGAGGTTGAATTTCAGGTGGGAGAAAGATTCTATTTGTAAAATATATGGCAGC